AAGCAGGGCTCAGACCCCAGCTGACTCCATGCCCTCGCCCTCGCGGACACGGCGGATGCATCGACGGCGTCAGCTTTCCCGATGCCCTCCCCAACTCAACCACTCTACCACTCGCCAGCTGACCCGAGGGACTTCAATGACTGATGGTGGCCGGACGTCCGCTCACTCGATGACCAACCTCAGATTGCCATCCGCCATCTCTATTACTTCTGATAACTATATTGTAAGCCGTACGCGCACATTATATAAGTCGCGGATGGCCATTTTCAACCCCGTCAGGTCACCCGAAGCACATCGCACCATCACCTGATGATCCGGTGGCCCGACGTACCTCCAGGTAGCAACCGTCCGGTGGACCGACGCCCGCGAGCGCGAGTCTACTGCATGATGTGAGACACAGTAAATATCTGAGTGGTATAATTTGAAGAAGTGCCCTTCAAACAAGATTGAAAAGCTCCCTCTCTCTTAAGCTACCACTTCGACTCTCATGGGGTCCAGTTCATATTCGTGGTTCTCCCGTGACGGGTTAGAGCCTCCTCCACCGGGTCCCATGGAAGGAGTTGTCGTGCTGATGTAGAAGCGACCGATATTGCTTTCATTGGCTAGGTGTAGCTGCAATCGTGATGCGAGAATTGTGTGAAACGCTGACTGGAATCTGCGTTGATGGAGTTGACTGCCATAAAATCGGACGTTACTTTAGAAGACTTACACAGATAGAGTATTAGTCACTCCCGTGCCCTATAAGGTTTGAATGAGATCTGAACGTTTTAGACGATGGAAATGGATGACCTCGCCCCTTGTCCAAACGATGATATTTGCCAATGATAAAACTAATTTCAGAATGAGAAATCAAGAGAAACTCAGTGAGGAAAATACTACTTACACACAGTGCACACGTAGTATAGTACACCGCCGCGGACCATTTCCTTTACAAGAGCCGACCGTGGCGAATTTTGCCACATCCGAATGACCATTAAAGCGAGCATTACTAATCTTTCCGTGAGCTTGCAATATCTTTGGCGAAACGAAACCTCAGTAACCTAGCTCGCCAATCAGTATTACCAGGTATATTCCGAAGAGTATTTTTGGTGGACTAGACAGGATGCAATCTGGCAAATTCAGGTATGGACCCAGCGACGATATAACTGAGTCATCACGTCGAGATAAATGAGCTTCAAACAAGAACGGCATCGACATTGGACTCACATGTAGCACCAGCGAGAAAGATCCCTAAAATTACTATAACCACGCTCAATTGAACCTACAGCAAAAGTTTAGTTCCAATGTGGGGCACTAAATCATGGCTACGCACGATAGCTAGTGTAATGAGGGTTGCAAGTACAGCCTTGTGGCGGTTCCATAGAATGTAGGTGCGCATAGCAAAGAGTACTGAGATTTGAATGAGTAGAATATCTTTTGAGCTGCCTCATGGCTTACGTTCTGAAGAGAGAATCGCCACAACTTCCAACCCTAAGCGCCATGTAAGTTGGGTTAATGGTTCTGTCTAGGAGAGGCCCTTTACCACAGTAAAAATATTGCAAAGGCGCGCATGACTAGAGGAAAAAATCAGCTCATAAATTTATCACATAGATGCGGCCCAATACTTGCGGTGTGGGCAATGTTGTATGGAAACTCGTCTTAAGGGTTGGGTTGATCAGTATCGCATTCCGGACTCGAAAGATTGAAACAGAGAGACCCACATATGAGAACCACAAGTAGCAGCGGAAACGCGCTATACCGAGACACAATATACAAAACTCTCCCTAGTCCCACTCTGTGCCCCATCCACAAGTAGTCAACTTATGGACTTATAGAATGTCTCAGAAAGAAATTCTTTGAGAACCATTTACCTCTTCCGCAAGCATAATGAGAATCGTAGATCTGATAGTGAGATATGAGCGATACAGCTTGGAAGAAGACTGGGGAGATCACCAGAATAGCGCCAATTGAAACTTGTCAATCAATTTAAGCATGTTCAGTTACTCCTAACTGCTCAATACTCTTACCATCCATGTACTTTTATGCAACATAGTCACAGTGAGGCGCTTTGTTATTGAATATAAACAGAGATCTGAGACATACATTTGTGAGCTGTATGCCTCTTAGCGTTTAATCAAGGCTAGCCATGGTGTGATAGAGGAGTTTAAGAGAATTTTTGTATTAGAATTAGGACGAAGCGTTGTTATGACTGGAGCGGAAGAAGAGAAAAGGGACCTCGCTCATATATCGTATCAACCTGTCTACCTTTATGGTGGGGTACGTTGATCATCTAGAAGGCATCAATCCAATGCACCGCACAAGATGTGATTGTTGAGTATGGTTATTCCGGTGATGCTGGATGTGGTACGTAAAAATATAGCTAGACATTATTTTCTCGACGGAAAACAGCTCGTGGTCTACTAGCTGGCACTCTCGAAGCCGCTCCTAAGTTTCTTTGGAGCTGAGGTCATCCTCGATCCTTGCCTTGTCATTGCGCAATGGAAAATAGAATGAACAATAAAGGGCGCTAATAGGATATCTTGGGAGTCAAGTGAGGCAATGACGAACAGCTTTTTGTAGGGTGATGTTGATCATCATGCATCAATGCGAATATATTTCAAGCAACTCTTAGATTCTCCAGTCGCACACTAGCTACATCAAAGTCATCTCGTGTTCCCACAGCACCCTCACCTTCCCGGAGCTTTCGAAAACCCCAGACCCGAAGAAACAACAAAGTTTCCTAAATGGAAAATACTAAAGCATGAATTCATCCGGTGAGCGGCGTAAATGATAAAGCACGTATAGTAAGGAGATCCTCTCGTCTAGCTTGCTGAAGGCCAATAATACCGCTACATAGATTACCGTATAGCGCACCAGTCCTTACTGGGTTTGATTTTGGGGCTTTGCGCGCGCATCTCCGATTGAAGAGAATGTGGAGTGAACATCAGGCTGCGCAACTGAGATATTAATAACTGTTTTTACACTGGTATGGAGCATGTAGGGCGGGGCCGGCCCGCCTACCTCGTGTCCAAGATGGACCCCCAAAATCCATTCAACACCTCGCGCTTGTGAGGAACGATTATCTTCCGTAAACCAAAAAGGTCTGGCTACGGGAGACTAACCTCGCACGGGGTCTGACTTCGCAAAGCAATATATATCCACCGCTTCGATCCTGATTCATACGTCTTCTGCTTACTCTAGTGGTCCTTCTGGTGAACATACGAACACCGTTTTCTTCAACGGCGACAATATGATCATTGTCAACCTCAACTTACAGACATACTAAGTAAATGAGTCGCAGTAGTCACGATGCGTGTCCCAAAAGCCCTCGGGTCTCGTCTAAGATGCTTCTACTCTCATGTGGCTAAGTTCATGACCATTGTTCTCTTGTGCTGATTCTGAACTCGTTCCACCGGATCTCTCGCTAACGTATAAGTGGCCTAACCTGCTCTCATTAGCTAGGTGAAGTTGGAGTCTTGACGCAAGAGTTGCGCGAAACATCGCTTGATACCTTCGAAGGTTAAGTTGACTGATATAAAGATAGACACGTTACTCCAAATATCTTACCCGGATAAAATATTATCCACTCCCGTACCCTGATTTATGTGAGTGAATTCAAAATATTTTGGGCAATAAAACTGATTGACCTCGCCCCTTGTCCAAACGACCATATTCGCCACAGATAAGACTGTTCCCAGGATGAGAACAAAAAAGAGATACAATAATGGGCGTGATATCACTTACACACGATGCATAGGTAGTATAGCACGCTGTCGCGTATCATTACCTTCAAAAGCGCCGAGCGTGGCCAGCTTTGTCCAGTGCGAATGACCATTAAAGCGAGCATTACTAATGTTAGCGTAAGCTTGGCGCATCTTCGGCGAAAGGGAATTAAGTTAATGACCTTGTCGGAATCGGGATTCCAGCGACACCGCTCGATGCGGGTGGCGATGTGGCGATGTGAAGAGGTGACATGTGTGGCGGGATGTGATAGAAGAGAATCAGCTATATAGACGTCCTCAGCCACCGGCCTCTCCCTCATTCGCTTGTACTACGAGCGTAAGAGGGTGAGTGCCGTCCAGACGTCTAACACATAACGCATACTTACCTGTACCTAGTCTGATCATTGTCTAGGTACATCAATATCTATTCGCTTGT